GAGATCACTCTGAACGAGAGCGCTCAGCCCAGGTCGTGATGAGGTCAAAATTTTGCCCCGAATCGCCAGCGAGAAACCGAAAGGTTGAGAAGTTACTAGCTGGAACGCACTGCTCAATGCACCTGCATTAGCGTTTACCTTTCCCTTTTTTTTTTTTCTTTAGCGAACGTCAAAGTTGCGCTGTGGAGCAACATGCTCCACCTCAGTAACCGGCCACTTTTAGGCGACGATACCTATGCGGCACCAAGAGCGGCTCATACTTGCGACGTTGCACAGGGGAACAACGATACGGCTTGCTACTGATTGACTCCTCACCGCTTAGCTCGATATCGTGTTCGATCACCCTCATGTTTCCGGGGCGGTCCGAAAACACGTCTTCAAACTCGGAACCAATCTTTCTCAGGTCCACTTTCTCAGGTCCTCCCTCACTTAAGCTAGACTCTAGGTTTATCTGCTCCCAAATTACTTTCGATCTCCCTTCGATCACCTCACTAGAACTCAAATTTTCTGCTTCCTCTGCCACTGAAGCATTCAACAACAGATTTACGATCGCTTGATGTTGAACGTATGGTTTCATCAAGTTGTAAATTTTGTCCGGCCGCCTTCCTAATTTCACTTCATAATTTGTATCGCAAGGCTTCGATAATACTTTGGCGGGCCCTTCCCAATCAACCTCAAGCTTGTTCCTTTTGGGTGGCTGCAGCCGCATTACCTGATTATCAACTTCAAAAGCGCGCTTCTTCCCCGATTTCTCGTAGTGCTCCTTCGACAGCACTTTTGCCACGTTTTTCTGGCTTTCCACGAGCGCTTCAATTTGGCTTTCCACTAGCGCTTCAATCGAGAGATCCTCACTCTGCCCTCGAATGAGCGTCTCTCGATCAACTCTCGGCAGCTCGCTCCAACTTTCCGCTACAGGCGAGAGCGTTGCATCCCTCTCGCTCTGACTCAAAGGCGCCACGTCGTCTCCCCCAGAGCATACCGCGCCGGCCGCTCCCGCGACGGGCCGCTCGCGTGACTGCTCACATGACTCATGCGGAAAATTTCCTTTTTGGGGTTCCGTCGACCCGCCGACAAGGTCACTTGAGAGTTCACCGCATGGAACCAAGTCCAGCTTCCGCGAAAGCTTTCGCGCTTGCGATCGCGTGAGAGCCATGCACGCTAAGTTGGGGAAGAACGATTTGCCCTGCTCTTTGAGAAGCTGCTCTGAGTTGTTGGAGAATAGATAAGGAAAACGATCGTTCAGCGCGGCAGACACAGCTGCTTCGGTGCGAAGCTCACCGAACGGGCCTTCAATGACAACCGTGGCGATTGGTAAGCGAACACTCTGCACCTCGGCGACTTGCCTGATCCACGCGCATTCTCCTGTGAAGTCATCCGGAGACACCAATGAAGGATGGACAACGTCCATGGTTGCCGCTGAGTCTCTAAGTGCTCGGCACGTTTTCTCATTGACCCTAATTTCTTGGAGATACGGCTCCAACAACCGAATGTTTTTTTCTGATTCTCGGATCGTTGCGAAGGCAAATTTTTCCTGACAGTTTCTCGCGATGTGCCCTTCCTTTTTACAGTTGTAGCAGATTAGCGGCTTCCGTTTGTTTTCCGATTCAAATGTCTGTGTGGTAGAAACCTCACTCAATCTCTCCGCTTCTGTTTGCCCTTCCCCTACACTGTCCTTCGTAAGAGACGGGTCCCTTTTGAAATTACGGTGCGGAGCGGGTTTCCGTTGATCAGGTTTCTTTGAAAAGCCCTCTTTTCTTTCATCCTTTTCAACGCGCACTGCCCTGCTATGCAACTTTCGGTGAGTATAATACTCCTCAGCTAACTCTGCTGCCTTGTTTAGCTGTACTTCACCAAGTTTGTCCTGCAGCCAAAGTTTGACATCCTCCTCGATGCAGCGGTAGAATTGCTCCAATGCAACGCATTCCACCACTTTATCGCGGTCGTCATAAACACCTTCGCCCTTGAGCCATTCAATCAAATCGGCTTTAAGACGAACGCGAAGTCAACGTGTGACTCATTCCCCTTTTTAGCATACCGGAACCTTTGCCTGAAAGCCTCGGGTGACAACTTATAACGTCTCAAGAGCACTTCCTTAACCTCGTCATAGCTCTCAAACGCTTCCCTCGACAAGCAAGTTATCGCGTCGGACACTTCGCCGGGAAGAAGAGCTAGCAGGTTCCGCGCCCAAAGAGACTGCTCCAAAGCATTTCGCTCACAGACGTGTTCAAACTTGACGAGATACTTCGCCATGTCCTCGCCCACTACGAACGGTGGCAGTTGATCCCGAATTCTAATACCGCTGACCTGAATCGTCGGAGAAGCTGCGCTAGGCGCCTGCGAACACTGTAGGATTGCCAATTCTATTCGTTTCATCTCGAGGCGCTCCTGTCTCTCGGCCTCCTCGCGCTCGCGACGTTCGCGCCTTTCAGCTTCTTCACGTTCGCGAGCTTCTCGCCTTTCAGCCTCTTCACGTTCGCGAGCTTCTCGCCTGTCTTCACGTTCGCGAGCTTCGCGCCTTTCTTCACGTTCGCGAGCTTCGCGCCTTTCAGCCTCTTCACGAGCTTCTCGCCTTTCAGCCTCCTCACGTTCGCGAGCTTCTACTTCTCGCCTTTCAGCCTCCTCACGGCGTGCTTTAATATCCACCCAGGCCTCATCGGCTTCCTCAGCCGACACTCCCTCATCCTTCATGATCTCAAGGATCGCTTGCTTTCGTTTCGCACGGCCCAAAGTAATGCCGAGTTCCTCACAAATTTCGATGAGTTCCTTCACTTTAAGGTTCTCCATCGTTCACACTAGCCTCTTGCTGTTTGCCCCTGTTAAGAATCTACTTGCCGTACCCACTATAAGCCTACTAGCAAGACGCGCAAGCAATTTTAACACTGCCGTGTTTACCCCTCTGCATTAACTTTGGTTTCAAAGCGCTTCGACTTGGCTTGAAACGATCAAAGCTTACTTTAATGCTTCACACAGCCCTTCTCTAAACTACTACAACCTGAGCTAGAGTAGTCTGGTGAACTGAGGGGAAAACATCAGGCACTCACCGCATCGATGTCGCTGACGCCGGCCGATCCCGCAGCTGCCAACCACTGTTGAGAAACGGCGGACCGATCCCGCCGAAGCCACCACTGTTGAGAAACGGCGGACCGATCCCGCCGAAGCCACCACTGTTGCGAAAGACGGCGACGCCGACGCGGTCCCGGAGGCGCCACTGCTTTCGACCCCGCCGGGAGGGTCACCAGCCGTTTGGTAGCGTATGTTTCTCAGCTCGCGACTGCTTCTGCGCAGAGCTGAGGAGACGAGCGGACGAGACGACGGTGAGTTAAACAAGGTTTATGTACAGCATATATACAGAGGCGTTACAACTTCGGCACTGGGGCCGGCAGAGACTCGAAGAGCCGAGCTCCTCTCTCTAACACATAGGTCAGCCTTTCGCCTAAAACCGCTGACTCACACACATGTCGGCCCTCCGACACGGGGACTCCTCTCCTAGGACCTCCGATCGCGACGTGCCGCAGGGCTTCTTTTATTTACACCGGGTCCAACCAAAATGTCCAATCAGAAGCGCCGCTGGTCGTCCGGGCAGATTCCGCCAATGGGGGTCGCCGCGCCATGCGTCAGACCACCCGACACGCGGCCGCCGGCTCGCTGTCACGTGCGCCGCTGACTCACTGCACCTGGGCCAGAGGGGCGCCGCGCGTGTTCACGCCGTCGAGGTGATCGCGCCAGGCAGACTGCGGGCTGGCCTTGACCCAGATTGCCTTTTTCCGAGGCACGGACGTTTGACGAGGACTCGCTGGCATAACAGTTGGGCACATGAGGTTAAGAAGGTTGTGGGTATAAATTTGGCACGAAACATGGGAGAGGCCTTTGTCCTGCAGTGGACGTAGTCAAGCTGATGATGATGATGATGAATACGCAATGCAGCTGCGCGAGGAGATAGCGGAAGCTTTACATAAAGCTCGGCATAATCTCAACACTGCTAGGGCACAGCAGAAGGTGTAGTACGCCCGCACACATTGGAACGTACGCTACGAAGTGGGCGATCTGGTACTGCGGCGCCATCATGCTCTCAGCGATGCTAGCAAACAGTTTGCTGCCTCGCTGGCACCGAAATGGTCCGGGTCGTACCGAGTGCGAGAGAAAGTTTCCTTGCTCGTTAATTGGCTCGCGAACATGAAAGGCAAATCAAGGGGCGGACTGGTGGATGTGACTTGAAACGCTACATGTCACAGGAGGAGCACGAGGACCACAGCCAGTCCCCCTCCAAGCCGCGCGTGGCGGGTGAGATCGCTCGACAGCGAGTGAGGAGCCCAGAACCGCGTTACTTCTTGCGTAACAGGCGGGGCGAGACAACTCTCCACGGCAGGCCGCGTTTGATGTGTTTGACGCGAGGTGCAAGGGTTCGCGTGCAACACATTTGCGATTTTAACCTTGCCCTTTTTTCTGTGTCGACTTTCACCGAGCGGATGGAGAGTCGAAAGGGAAAGAAGTGCCGCCGGAACAGCTCGGAGTGGAAACCGCTCCTCTCACAGGATCACACCCAACAACATCCATGTCATTACGGCCCCACCCAACCAAGCTAAGCCATTTCCAGCCTACCCCATCGCCCTCATCACCGGGCCTTTACACAAGAGGCGCCTAGCTGACCAACCGCCAGCGCAGCTGAGAGAGCAAACTTTGTCGGAGCCGCTGTCACAAGGACAAGCCTACCTAGCCAACCCACGGTTGTCCGGACACCCTTATGGCCTCTGCTACCTCGAGGCCATGGCGCGGCATGCCAAAGATGACTCTCGAGCTTGCCAGACCAGTGGAGCCGCGACCTGTTGCTGCATTCCAGACTATGCTGGAGAGGGCGGCCTGGGCCAGTGCTGAACAAGACCTGTCACCAACTGGCAACTCTCAGTCGCCACCAAGGACCTGAGTAGCGGGTCTCAACGGTGCGCGGTCCGGACCAGAGTGATACTGGCACCAGATCCAGGGCGGTAGTAACGGCGGCGAAAATGACAGCAGTGGCAGTAACAACGGAGGAGGTGACAGCGGTGGCGATGACTGGCCATGATGCAAGTGGGCACGGCAACAGTGGTAGTGGCTACTTCGGATTCAGTGGCGACAATTGGGGGCACCGGCTGCACCTACTGCAGAGGGCCAACTGCAGGCGGGCTCGGACTGGGTCCCACCGTCCTAGCCTTACTCGATGATAAATAACAAAATGTTCTCATGTTGCAGTCTCTGTCTTTCGGGGGCCTTCCTAAGTGGGGGAGGAGGGGGGGTCAAGTGCGCCCAGCCTTTCTTTCCCTTTTACGGCAGCGTGACAGCTTAGTTGCGGGGACATGACTGTCCCTTCAAGAGTCAAGAAAGCCTCTTGCGAAGAGATGGAACACCCCCTCCGCCAGTGCTCGCGACTTCCCCTTTGTTGGCGTACAAAACAGGTTTCACTTCCTCAGCATAGGAACAAACCTTCATCAGGGAGAGAGAAACTGGGTCAGTGAACAAAACTAGCGCGCGGACGGCCGCACGCTCTCTCTGACACCGACCAGGAACGAAGGAGGTCGAACCCGTAACCCCCTGTGAGCCGAGGACATCCACGACCAAGGAGTAAACGTATACTCTTGTTTCTGTACTACCTCCTCTACTCTTGGTCCTGTACTATCTTCTCGCGACATATGCTCGCTATTGTTAACGCTTAGCAATAAAGTGTGGTTGTTGACCTAGCCTGTTGCCTTATTCGCCTGAAACCGTGTAGCTGCAGTGAGACGAGCTACGGATAGGGGACGTTCATCGTGCACGGTACGACTGCGTGCAGCTGGAACATTAGCTTGGCTTCTGCGTCAGCCGTACATAGGACGGACCCCTTACAATACATATACGGTCAGTGACGCTGACGTCGGCGGCAAAACCCAGCCGAGAGTGACCATATAATTGCTATCGCAACAAAACGCAGCGTCGGATGGCGGCGCAGAAACGTTGCGGGTGCACAACGTGCCGTCGGCGTGGTGGGTGCGTTTGCGCTTTGCATGACCTTTAAGATGTCGAGGACGCGACGTGTTTCTACTTCGTGCACGAGATACCCCGCCGCGATGGTCTAGTGGCTAAAGCACTCGGATGCTGACCCGCAGGTCGCGGGATTGAATCCCGGCTGTGGCGGCTGCATTTACAATGGAGGCGGAAAGGTTGTAGGCCCGTGTGCTCAGATTTGGGTGCACGTTGAAGAACCCCAGGTGTCTAAATTTCCAGAGCCCTCCACTACGCCGTCTCTCATAATCATATGGTGGTTTTGGGACGTTAAACCCCACATATAATTCGCCCACGTGACAGTTTGAAGGCCACGGGCTTTGTTTTTGTACTGCTGTGCTTGCGTGGCGCCATCAGCAAAGAGTTTTCTCGTGCATTCGACAGGTGGTGCTTTGCCATAAAAGGCGCGACTTTCAAATATTGGTTGACGTCGTCCGCGCTCGAGCTGCTCTCAACTGTTAAGCATGCTTGCAAAACTATGTTTTGAATTTTTTTGCTTGTTATTTAGTGATATAATGGCTTGAGTTAACTGTTGTTCCGATCATCAATGGCACTGGCTATCATACTGAAATAAAACGAACAGATACATTGCAAAAGAGTTTTTTTTTTCTTTTTTCAAGACCAATGGGGAGGGACGTGGGCTGATTATGCAAGTGGGTTCATTACGCAAGTAAATACGGTAAATTCTCGCTCCGCATAGCTGGAAACGATGCCTCGATTTGCTTTCACCCACGAGGCTGCGTCTTGGTCGCTTGTTGAGGTCGTCGCACCAACTATCGATTTGAACACAATGTCACGGCGTACCTAAAATTGGTGCAGCTAGCCATTTCTGGGGCTGAAGACGGGGGAAAGTCCAAAAGGAATGCAAAGTTTTTAGCTTAAGCCCGCATCATAGGACTGCTTACCGGAATGTTCCGAGCCCACGCATCGACGAACCATTTCAGCAGCGCGTCCTCCATGTCTGTGTAGGTTGCGCTCTGCAAGCGCTTTCTCTCCGCCGTGTTTGCATGGGCACTGACTGATCTTTTCTTTTTTTTTCAAGATCGTAGATGCAGTCGACACATTCGCATCGTACTTGTAACCAATTGGCAGTTTTTCACACCTTGAGAGAGCTCCGTTGAAATGGCTCGCTTTGCAGCAATGTCTAGCGCTTTTCGCTTCATGCCTCCATCTGCCATTGTGTAAGACATTTAACTTCTCTGGGTTCTTACGCTCAGTCAGCATGCACCTGGAATGAATTGGGAATTGTCAAAGTCGGTGGGGATGTGGGACAAAGGACAAAGGGGTGCATTACAATACATTAGTCGAGGAGAGCGACAACTAGACAGTCGCGGACGCAGGGTCCGTGTTTATCAATAGAAATCTACGGCCACCTCGCCGATGGCTTATCGGTGATCGAAAGTGGTGTCCCGGGAAGTCGCCGGAGCTCCGACTCCGTTCACTGTAACCGATTGGCAGGGCTCGGAGATGTTTTTTGGGTGATTTTGTGTCATAGAAATATTGTATATTTTCACGGTCACGCAGTTATCGTTCGTTTTAAGCGAAAGTTTGTTTTAAGTGGGGCCGTTACCTGTGAACTCGACTTGCATTATTCGCATGTAAAGGCAGTTTCACTGCCTTTACATGCGAATACCTGCCTTTACATGCCCGTTATCACTGGCATACTACTGAAAGTCAAATGCTGCTGCTACTCAAAGTTTTTTCAATTGAACAAATACAACAATAATAAAGTCATTTGCATAGAGGCCTTATTTAAATTTTCTAAAAGAATATTGTGCTTGTTAGGTCATGATGAATATGCCCATTTTTATTATGTCATATATACAATTCGAATTATTTGACCAAAATCACTATTCGGGTCGAATCCATTTTGAACCAAGAATTCACTGTTCGCTCAAGCATAGATATTTCATTATATACGGTTTGTGTTACGTAGTTCTTTCTTGCTAAACTGTGTTCACGGTATAGCGCACTTCCACTGCAGTGAAACTACTTTTACAAGGTGGTTGCATGCTAACTTAAGTACCCCTATTGCTTTATATTGAATTCTTTGAAATTTCTAATAATTTAAATTCATATAAAGAGAATTATAATACTGTAATATTCAGTTTTTGGAATAATCAATTTGCTTTATCTGGGCTTAAATAACGCACTTCTGAAGTGCAGTGGAACCCGGACTATACGACTTTTAGGGGACCACGTTAAGCCGTCGTATACTCCAGGCATGGCATAATCAAAAAAACTATAATTATTGGCAGTGACACTCAGCCTTGCCAAAAAAACTGGTAAAGACCACCTGAATAAGTTCATGGCATAACCTTGTGCCTCTGCAAGGAAGGTAGAATTAGTTATTTTTGCCAATGGCAGCATTACTTGGTGGGGAAGGTGCGAGCAAATCTTTATTCTCAACTTCATTAAAAAAAAAAGAGATTGAATCTAATGCGACCTTCCTACCGATAAACAGAGACCGAAAATTGCCCGCGCGTGAAACTGAAACTGCGTTATCAGCAGCCTTCCTTCAGAAGAGTCGGGCGCAGTGTCTTTACAATCACATAATGGCGATGAACCACGAGTTTGTGTAGGATGCCTTAGTGTGCCACTGAACTGTGCGCTTGTAATTTGTTGGCATGTGAAGGTGCAACCAGCGATGTTTCACTGTTATTATGAACGTTGACGTCAAGGGAAAGTAATGTTGTATGGCGAAAACGGCTGCATCGTGCCCTAATGCATGCGGAAGCCTGTGACTGCTAGTGTGACAAAGGCAGGACATCAGCTGTGTGTTGACCAGGAAAAGTTCCCACGAACCAAAACGGCTCGGTGAAGTTACTCCGTGTGGATAGAGCTTGACTAAGTAATGACCCCGAATACGTACGCACGTGATAGAAGCGTATGTAGAAGCGCATAAACTTCCACGAGAATAAATTTTTCTTTCTAAGAAATCCTGTCTCACGCTCTTTTTTTCCAATCGTAAACCTAGGGTAACGCAAGTTAACATATTGTACTTGTGAATATTTTGATGACGTGTGATTCGTGTAAAGGTGACTTTTCTTTCAGACGGAACCTGAAATTCATCATAAGATGTCGGATCGGTGTGAAGCTGGATTGTTGTCACAGAACGAGCGCTAAAAATGGGCGCGCCGCCAAATTGTCGTGACGAAACGCCGGAGTGGCGCCGCGAGGTCAAAAGAAAAAGAAAACAAACATCTAAAGGCTCCCCGGGGCGCGCGCTCTCCCCTCGGAAGCGTGGCTTCGCCGACGAACCTCCTCGCCCCACATCGGCGGCCGAGATAGCCCGCGAAAGTTCTAGAACGAAAGGGGCGTGGTCATACCGAGTTGAGTCATCGGCCGCGGAGGGCATTCCAACCGTCCCGCCCTCTTCCCAGCCTTCGCTGCATATCGCGCCGACGAAATGACGATAACCGCCTGGAATGTCACGCGCAAGGTATTTAACTGAGCAGCCGAGATGAGAGATGAGGAGAAGACGGAAGTAGCGCCAGAGTGCGTAGGGATTCCGCCGTGTAGTCGCCGAATGTTTTGTCCGTAGGGACGAAGCAGGAGATGAAGAGGATTTCCACCTGAGGGGTGAAGGCTCGAGCTACAAGCAAGAGCGTGTGTCTACGGCTATCGAGCGAGGACGCGTGGCAACAGCTGCGTGTGTGAAGCCGACGTGTTCGGGCGAAGAAGTTTGAAGCTTGGAGAGTGGCCTATTGAAGACGGGAGGTTTCCTGGAAAAGAAACTTCGGCGAGGTTTCCTGGAAGAGAAACTTCGAAAGCTGCGGAACGACAACGCTGGACTTTGAGTGAGTGATTCTCGGAAGAGTATCATCTAGACTTTGGTTCCAAGAACTTTGGACTGAATAGGTTTTCTATCTCTTTAGTCTTTAAGTGTCTTGGCTGTTCAATGCATGCGACTGCATTGTAGTGCGTATCGTGGTCTATGTCCGTTGTTTTGAGTGTGGCTGATTGTACTGTGTAGTACGTTGTTTGATTGGTGACGTATTGTATGTAACTATTGTGGAGTGCGCATTCTTGTGTGTTGTTTTCGATCTGCCATTTTTGAGAATATAATATTTGTTCTGTTTATCAACTCTCGACTCTGACTCGTTCTTTGGGCCACAGCCGGCGTCCGCTGGCGCGCCAAAAAGGACCAGTTCTAAATTGTCCACGCTTTCGTGGTGCGGTTCGGGGGGCCAATACTTCGGCCCTTGGAATTAGCCCGGCGATCGCCTCCCGAATTAACGGGACCTGTGTGTGACAATTAATCTGGCGTCCGCGACAGGACCTTTTGGTGCACAGTGTGTCCAAAGTAGTGAGAAAGAGCCTCGAGTTGTTGATAGTGCTATCGGAACGATTTTGTGTGTTGTTCAGTGTTCTCGTTAACAAGTGCAGGGGAGTGTTCCGATAGACTGATTTAGGCAGATACTTTTTGCACGCGGCAAGGTTTTATTTGCGAGTTGCGAGACACAATGGATCTCGAAAAGTTAGTCGCTCTTGGTGAGAAGATGGGTCTTTCTGGCGCCGAACTACGAAAGTGGGTCACCCAGAAGGAAAAAGAAGAAAAAGAGAGGGCCAAAGAAGAAAAGGCAGCTGAGCTGGAAAAAGAAAGGCTGGCGGTCGAAAGAGCCAAAGCGGAAAAAGAAGCTGAGTTGGAACGAGAGAGGTTGGCAGCTGAGAGAGCCATGGAAGAAAAAGCAGCTGAGTTGGAACGAGAGAGGTTGGCAGCTGAAAGGGCGAGAGAAGAAAGAGAAGCAAAGGAGCGACAGCTGAAAGAAGAAAGAGAGGCAAAGGAGCGACAGCGGAAAGAAGAAAGAGAGCAGCAATTGAAGTTGGAGCTGGAGAGAGAAAAGTTGGCAGCCGAAAGGGCGAGAGAAGAAAGAGAAGCGGAGATGGCTGAAAGGGAACGGCAGCGGCAGCACGAGATGGAACTCGAGCGGCTCCGTTTGCAACAGCGAAGCGAAACTCCCGTCCAAGCTAGAGTTGAAAGCAGCGAACGGGAAGATCACGGCTTCCGCTTGAACCCAAGCAAGCTGCTCGTAGCGTTTGATGAAAGGAAGGACGACCTTGACGCGTACCTTCACCGGTTTGAGACGATTGCTAGGAGCCAGAATTGGCCGGAACATCAATGGGCAACTGCTTTGAGTACTTGCTTGAGTGGTGAAGCGCTCAGTGTGTACGGTAGGCTGACGCCGACCGATGCAGCCAACTATGCAAAGGTGAAAGCTGCTTTGCTGAAGCGATTTAGATTTACCGTGGAAGGATTCCGGGACAGATTCCGGACAGGAAAGCCAGCTGATGGTGAGACGGCTACGCAGTATGCCGCCCGACTTTGCCATTATTTCGACAGATGGATTGAACTTTCAGGGACAGCGCAGGAGTACGATGAACTTTGAGAGCTCCTAATTAGAGACAATTTCTTACTAGTTGCCACCCAAGCCTGTCGCTGTACTTGAAAGAGAGGAAGGCTGAGTCACTTGAAGGCATGCTTGAATTGGCTGATCAATTCTTGGAAGCGCAAGGTGGAACTAATTTGGCCAAGGTCAAGAAGGATTGTCCTGATGATTCGAAGAAATTGGCTCCCGAAGAAAAGAAGCGTGCACCAGAGAGCATTCCGCGATGTTTTCTGTGCAACCGAGTGGGTCATCGCGCGAAAAACTGTCGAACGATCTTTACGAGCCCTACGGCAGTAAAATGTTTCAAGTGTGGTCAGACTGGGCACAAAGCAGACGCTTGTCGGAACGGAGTGAGTCAAACTCACCAGGTATCTTGTGTGCAAGCGGCACCGAAATCTGATAATAATGCCATCACCGATGGATTCGTAGAGTTGAAGAATGGGGAGAAAATTCCTATTGTGGGTGCTGTAATGTCAAAACAGCCAACCGATGTTACGAAGGGAATGCCAGCGCTGCCTGGAAAGGTTGCAGGCAAGAAGATTACGGTTCTAAGAGACACCGGTAGCTCCACGGTTATCGTGCGGAGAAACTTGGTACGGGAAAGTGAGTTAACCGGCAAAACGAAACTGGTTTGCTTGATTGACCGTACAGTTCGGATGCTTCCCGAAGCAGAGATTGGGGTTGAAACCCCATACTTCAGCGGGAAGGTTACGGCTCTATGTATGACGACCCCCCTTTACGACCTTGTCATCGGAAACATCGACGGGGCGCGAGGACCGAATGATCCGGAATGTTTGGGAGAAGACCCTAAGATGGAGTCCTCGCCAACCCAGCGACCGCGAGATACAGTGGAGGAGCATCCCGTGACGGATATCACTCGAGCCCAAGGTGAAGCCGCGGTGCAAGGGACCATGAATAATAAGATGATCGTGACGAATGAGTTCACGGGCCGAAAAACTGGACTTACGTCGGCACGAGCTCCACCGACCGACAGTGTAAAAGTGACGGAGTCGGCCAGTCGGGCCAAATGTAGAGACATGAACAAGCTGGTAAATAAACAGAAAGGACCCGTCGAACGTCATGACCCGTTAACGGTGTCGGAAGTGACAACGATGGCTGAGACGCCGCCTCAGATATCGTCATTGGAAAGGGCTCGCCGAAAAGGAACGTGGAAACACAAGAAGAGATCGAGCGAGCACCGCAAGAAAGGGCGCAAGCGCCGCTCAAAGTACACAGGATAAGTGCTGAAATCGAATCAGAATGTGTTTGGCAGTGCTGAGTGCCATATGCTGTGTTAGTGTTGTGTTATCCTGTGTCACAAGTGTCGAAGTATCTGTGCTGTGATGTGATGTATAGTGTTGTATAATTGTTGTAATGAGAGAACTTTGTACATTTGTATTATTGGGAATGTGTGGTGGAGTGTTGTACTCATGTGCCTGTGGTTATATTTCATGTGTTGTGTAATTGAATTACAATGTACAATTGTATTGAGTGAACTATTGCGAATGTGCCGTGTCATGAGCGACGGACTATGTTACAGTCTTTGAGTGTGTGGGGACTGTTCGCGCTCGTTTGTGTGGTTCTGAATATTATGAGATAATATTCTTAAAGTGGTGGGCAGTGTCAAAATGGGGGGCAGTGTCAAAAAATGGGCGCGCCGCCAAATTGTCGCGACGAAACGCCGGAGTGGCGCCGCGAGGTCAAAAGAAAAAGAAAACAAACATCTAAAGGCTCCCCGGGGCGCGCGCTCTCCCCTCGGAAGCGTGGCTTCGCCGACGAACCTCCTCGCCCCACATCGGCGGCCGAGATAGCCCGCGAAAGTTCTAGAACGAAAGGGGCGTGGTCATACCGAGTTGAGTCATCGGCCGCGGAGGGCATTCCAACCGTCCCGCCCTCTTCCCAGCCTTCGCTGCGTATCGCGCCGACGAAATGACGATAACCGCCTGGAATGTCACGCGCAAGGTATTTAACTGAGCAGCCGAGATGAGAGATGAGGAGAAGACGGAAGTAGCGCCAGAGTGCGTAGGGATTCCGCCGTGTAGTCGGCGAATGTTTTGTCCGTAGGGACGAAGCAGGAGATGAAGAGGATTTCCACCTGAGGGGTGAAGGCTCGAGCTACAAGCAAGAGCGTGTGTCTACGGCTATCGAGCGAGGACGCGTGGCAACAGCTGCGTGTGTGAAGCCGACGTGTTCGGGCGAAGAAGTTTGAAGCTTGGAGAGTGGCCTATTGAAGACGGGAGGTTTCCTGGAAAAGAAACTTCGGCGAGGTTTCCTGGAAGAGAAACTTCGAAAGCTGCGGAACGACAACAACGCTGGACTTTGAGTGAGTGATTCTCGGAAGAGTATCATCTAGACTTTGGTTCCAAGAACTTTGGACTGAATAGGTTTTCTATCTCTTTAGTCTTTAAGTGTCTTGGCTGTTCAATGCATGCGACTGCATTGTAGTGCGTATCGTGGTCTGTGTCCGTTGTTTTGAGTGTGGCTGATTGTACTGTGTAGTACGTTGTTTGATTGGTGACGTATTGTATGTAACTATTGTGGAGTGCGCATTCTTGTGTGTTGTTTTCGATCTGCCATTTTTGAGAATATAATATTTGTTCTGTTTATCAACTCTCGACTCTGACTCGTTCTTTGGGCCACAGCCGGCGTCCGCTGGCGCGCCAAAAAGGACCACTTCTAAATTGTCCACGCTTTCGTGGTGTGGTTCAAGGCGCCAATACTTCGGCCTTTGGAATTAGCCCGGCGATCGCCTCCCGCATTAACGGGACGTGTGTGTGACAATTGTATAACCAAGTTTTTTAATGCATTATTTTTATCGGATTTTGCCAGAACCAAACCGACTTGTCGTAAAATATTGGTCGTCTCAAAACCGGCAGACGTATAATCGAAGTTCCTCTGTCGATGTGCATAGCTGGTTGAAATAAATTTGCACAAATAAAAAAAACACAATCAAGGAGTCCAGGGAACGGGCTTTACGGGTAACAGTAGAACACCTATAATCTTTCGTCACGTATGCACGTACTAATAAAAAGAGCATATGTGGATATGAGGTGCTTGCACAAGTTTTAGACCAAGCAATGTGATAGGCTGGTACAAAGATCTATGTTGCTTTTGATATCGGAAGCTTCCAGAGCAAGTCTGACAACTTGCAACCTTGAGGAGTAGTCTGCCTATGTAAATCAGCGTGACCCCTCATCACCAGTCCCCTCTGCAGACACGCCCATTCTGGGCAGGAGCAGTGACGCATCTTTTAGACTTGCTTTGGCAGCTCTTCTGACATCCTTGTTCACCCAGATATTTTCTCTAGTTTAGCGTATTTTAAGGAAAGAGTATGTGTCAATTACTTGCTTCATGGAACTGGTTGGCTGTTGCTCTACTGCTGCAGAGACGTTGCGGGTGAACAAGATGCTGAACCTGGTGATGACACCGTTGCGCCAGCGTTCTTCGGCCGACCCCTTTGCTAGATTGGCTCTGGTGCGTACCCTGTGGCACTTGGCTGTCAAGCTGGGACCACAGCATCTGTCCACCTGCTTTCAACTGGTGAGCCTTTGTTGCCACACATTGTTTCCAGGTTTCATTGCATTTTTTATTGTGGCTGGTTTTTGTTACAAATGTATACTTTATTGATTTGCATAACTTGTGTGCTCTTCTTCACTCTTTAAGAGCTCTAAAAAAGTGGTGGTCAAGTTTTGGAGAGAATTCTGGAACACTGTAGGGGTGAAGGTCGTTTGCGCAATGGTATTGGACATGGGCGTATCAGCCGCGGAGGGAAGGGGGGCGCTAGCCTCCCTACTAAGAAGAGGTAGGGGGGCCGAGCCCCCCCCCCCACTTTCGACAGTGGTCAGTGTTGGCTGTACGTTGGGGAAACCAACAACTGAGGTGAAGTTTATTATTTTTTTTACCACAATAATCACTCAGTTTTAATGTTACGAGGGAATGAAAATATTACGAGAAAAGGTTACATAAAATGAAATATTTCTAACAATTCTGTTGTGAAGATATTTCTTGTAGGCTCTTTGCAGTGCGGGCCGCTGTACGACACTTTCGCGCCTTGTGCTAACATTGCAGAGCAGGCTAGCCCTGAACAGGGCCCCATATGATTACATCGCTGGCTCATGCTTTTATTCTGCTGTGGCTGGCCGATGCAGCTACAGATGGGAATGCGCCAATTTTTATAGACCAGTGAAAGCACTTGCTGCTTCAGGAACATAATTGTCTTCAGTCGAAAAGGAATAGCATCACCGTTGCTTTGTCGAAGCAGCTGTGAGCCTATGAGTGTGATGAATTCTTTTCAATATTTGGTTTTGCCGTACTGAAATAGCAAGAAAAAAAAGGTTTGCGGTTCAATATTCGATCAACCCAATCACTGAACAGCCTTTCTTATGGTACCTTGTAACGGTTGCAGCAGCTTGCTAAGTGGCGAAGAATAAAGCTGTGTATTCGAGCAGTGGGAAGGTCAGCTTTTATTCCTTCTCTGAAACTTGATCCCACAAACCAAGAGGGTAGTAAAATTTCGTGTTTTTTTTACACTAAGAGGACTTAATCAAGAATCGGGCTATTTGTTGTCATTCAACTTGAATAGAGTTTCACAGCTCCACGTACAACTCTCGCAGCAAAGAAGCACATACCGTATAAACGCGTGTAAGGGCCGCACTTTTTTTTCAGGAAGTGAGGGCTAATTTTCAGGTTGCGGCCCATACACGGAACTTTTTTTTGTGGTGAACTAAAAACAACGTACCAGTTAGTGAACGAAGAGCGTTTATTGCAGTATGCCGCGTGTGCGCTTAATCGTCGTCACTCGACGAGTCCTCTAACTCTGAGTCGGAGATAGTGTGTTGCGGAGCACCATCATTCCACAAACATTCATCTTCGGTGCCATCCAGGCTGTTGGATATCCCAGTGACCTTAAAACTTCGGCACACAATGTCCGTCGACACCGAGCTCCACGCCGACAATATCCAACCGAGAACAGTAGCAAGCGGTGCCCTCTTCGGCCGTCCGGTCGGCGTGTGCTCATGGTTGCCGGCTGCCATCCATTCCGTGTACAGTCTTCGGAATTCAACTTTGCATGGTTGATTCACGCTCACATCCAATGGTTGCAACATTCCTGTGAGGCCGCCTGGAATCGCGGCCATGTCTGTGCCGACACGGCGCAGCTGCTGCTTCACCTTATCGGTAAGGTGGCCGCGGAAACTATCCAATACTAAAAGTGAATGTTTGGCCAACAAAGCTCCCGGTCTGTTCTGCCAAACACTTTTCACCCAGTCTAGCACCAAATCATCGTTCATCCATCCCTTCTCTTGGGCTCTAACTATGATGCCCTTGGGGAAAGCTTCGTTGGGAATTCTTTTCCTTTTCAAAACAACGTACGGGGGTAGCTTCCGCCCGTCCGCGGTCACACAAAGCATCACAGTGCAGCGTTGGCGCTCAGCGCCGGTGTTCCGCACGGCGACACTCTTCTTGCCTTTTACTTCGACTGTGTAGTTCTAGAGAGTCAAACCACACAGGAGTTTGATCAGCGTTCGCTATTTGCGACAACAAATAACTGTGCTGATGGCGCAGGCCAATGACATGCTTGTGAAAACTAAGCACCTTGTCGGTATAGACTTCTGGCAGCCGCTGGCACAGCGTGGTCCTTCACCGAAAAGAGAGTCCCTTTCTTTTCATAAACCTTCGCACCCAGCCAGCACTAGCCTTGAAATCCCCGGCCGGTATATTTTTCGCACGTGCCAAGGCTAGTGCATTCATGCGCAGCATGTCTGTAGTGAGTGCAAAACCATCGTTCCGCACCTCAGTCACATAGCGGAGCAACTCCTCTTCCAAATCGGGATACTTGCACTGTTTTCCTCGGAAAGCGCGCTTTTTGATATTGGTGTTCTGCAAGGCTTTCTTCTGGGCGCACCAACGTCGAACACACTTCTCGTCAACGTCGAATTTTCTGCCGACGGCCCGTTTCTCGTGCTCGAGGGCAAACTCTATCACCTTCAACTTATAGCCAGCTGTATAGCTATTCAGCTGCTTGCCCATCGTGCGAAAACGTAAACGTCCCGCAGAAAACTAGCTGGAGTCCCAGAGTCATTCAACGGTGCGCAAAACTCGAGCACATGGCAGGCTGAACAGCTCAATGACCAAACAACGCACAAATACCAAAGTTGGTGATGCTAATGCCGATATGGATAGCGCGTTTGTATAGAAGTGTCAGAAGTTAAATATAAAATCCTGCTTTAACCTTTAGTTGGCGGGTGTATGAACACTACTGAAAAAATTAAAAATTTTTAGCCAACTTCATGAACATATTAGCATGAAGAAAACCAACAAATTATTCTAATGATGTACTAGAATTGCGTTCCCTAACGCCATCTACTGACAACGCCTAGTAGCTCAAACACGCGCGCGCATTTTGAATACGCATGGGTTAAGGAAAATGCGGATGCGGCCCTTACACACAACTTTTTTTTTTTTGAATATGTGCTTCTTAAAAACGGGATGCGGCCCTTACACGCGTGTATACGGTATGCGCAGCCCTACCTAATGCTCTCTTTCTCAGCAAAAATGAGCTAATTGTATTTATGCAAAGAGTTGTGAGGTATTTATGCAAAGAGTTGTGATGCAAAGAGTTGTGAGTCAGCGGTCTGCAGACTTTCCGGGAAACCAATTTCGACCACCAATCAAGCATTAGCAAGGGGCCGATACATTTTTATTGTTAAACGTCGACCCTGCCTCTGCGCCTCTCTAGTTGCCGCTCTCCCCGACCGCTTTTTGTTATGCACCGCTCCGTCTTTTGTCCCCCCCCCCCCCCCCCCGCTATTCTGAGCACCCCGCACCGCTTCACACTGCCACCGATCTTTCAAAGACCGGTAGGCCATCTACCCTGTTTTCGATCGCTAGTACTGTCGTTGGCGTTGCCGGCTTGGAGTGACCAGACTATAACATCGTCGGCCACTGACTGTATCCGATAGTCAGCGCCTAGTGCACGCGCGCACGCTATCCCACCTACACTGATAATTTGCGATTCGTTTCGTGTTCGGGACTTGTTTTCGCTCACTTCGTACTCAACTCAGCATGCCTTCCGCGCACGTGCGGAAGCGCGAAAACGGCTGCTGTTGGTGCGGAAGCAATCGCGAAATATGCAGTTTGTGAGGCCACGCGAACCCGCCTGTGCAACAAAACGATGTTTTGACCACGGCCGCCGATTCTTCGAACACCGCCACGCACACCGATTCAGATGGCCATGCACTCTTTCCAAGTTTTTTGTACGTGCGAGTTTCGTGGACCTTTCAAGCAAGCTACCCAACCTGCCTCCTTCCCGTGTGTTTTGGTTTTCAAGGTTGCCCTCCCGCCGCATCCTCCCCTCTCTATCGCAACTCCTTGCCCTTCTCTCGCAAGTCTGCTCTCCTCTCTTGATTACAACCCCATCGTCCGTCCCCACCGCTCCGCGACGCCTCCCACGCTGGCTCGATATAGTTTCATTTTCTGACTGGAAACGGGTGCAGAGCTGTTCCACACGTTCTGGCATGTGTGTCGTGTGTGTGCATCTTGCTCGCTCTTGGTGTGCGTGTGTAGTCATGATGGCCGATGGGAGGACTAGCATGCTTTTTCCTGCCGCTCAACAAAACGTCGAAAGTGTGACCGTTTGGCTTGGCTTGAGCGTAATGCATGCGTTAGGTACCGCGTTGTGGAGCGCTTGGTCATAGCTGTTGACCACATGGCAGCCAACTTGCCGCTTTGGGCGTCCCGGTATTGAGCTGTGGAGATGCTGAATATTTTGTGGGCGGTGGTGACGACTACATGCGCGCGAAACTATTTTTGCGAGGCTGACTTCGCCGACGTCAGGCCCGATGCCGAGCCGGAAGCTTCCAAACAGAACCACTGCGGCGGCGATTTGCGGCAGCGCGCCGTCGACTCCGACATAAGAGAGCGAATGGGACATCTGTTGCGATGGGTTCATTATGGTCGATGATGGTGCCGACATCGCGAAACTGTACACGGATTAAGGCATTGTGAATGAAGTACGCGGCAATGAGCAATTTGGAGGAATCTGATTGCGAGAACGATGAAACTTTGGAGCCAGCGCCTCATGCAGCTTATGCCACGGGCCTCGGCGAATGAGCACGCTGCCGTTTGAAAACTCGAGACCGCCCTTATCGCTTCTGCCCTTCTAATCATGTGCATCACATACTGTTTTGGGCAAAAAAGTGTGTTTTCACTCACAAGTTTTTTAAAAGTTGTGTTTCATTTAATACAAACTTCGGGATACAGCGAACGGATACCGTGTCAGACTCAGGTTCGTTATAAGCGGGCTCGACTGTATTCCAGGGACGAATTAGGTAAGCTCGCCCCCCCCCCCCATTCGCGATAGAATTGGTATGCCACTGATATTGGAATATGTATATGATTTGGCTGACAATATCCTCATCGTAAAAGGATGTGAATGCTTGAACACATGTTTTTTTGGTGTGCCCAACTGCGTCTACTGTCTCCGGGTGCTCTGAGTGCACGACATTTGAGACCCTACATGTACAAAGTGACGTGCAGTGCAG